ATACCACGACGACCAGGACGACGAGACGAAGAGATCGCCGTCGAGATCGCCGCCGGACTCCGCCGCACGCGCCGTCACGCGCCACCAGGAGGTTCCAGCAGCTGAAGCTTAATCGCGCGCGTGTGAGCGCGTGAAACCTCCGATTTCTGATCGGTCAGCGCCGTTGACTTCGCCGTGACGTCAGCTTTCTGGATTGGTCAAGTTCGTTCGATTCCGAGAAGAATTAATTTGCGGTCAGCTGTTCGGGCCAGCCAGATCTACATAAATTTTAAGCAGTAAGTTTTCTTCATCAAACCTTTAGATCCGCTGCGCATAGGTTTATGTTGAATGTTTGTCCGTGATTTGTGCATATCGAGATCCTCATGGGTTCCAACAGGAGGAATTCGCCCAAACGGAGTGGGCAGAAGAGGGCATCACCCCGAAGAGAGAGTCGAGATTCAAAAAGGGAGAAGAGAGATGAGTGACAGAGGAGGCCGATGTTGTTCGAGAGACAGAGATACCACACTTTTACGCCCTTGAGGAAAGACATGACGGAGGTCCTCGAGGCCATAGAGCAGAAGATGTCAAGTGAGGATGTGACTTGGCCGAAGACGAGGTTTACAGGCCCAATCCGAACTAGGTCGGATATTTACTGTCGCTTTCACCGAGATTATGGTCACACCACGGAGAATTGCAGACATTTGAAAGATGAGATCGAGAGGCTGATTCGAGCGGGATATTTGGAAGAATTTGTGTATCATGACAGGGTCAAAGGGAAAGGAAAGAGAAGGTGTAGGAAAGATTCGAAAGAAAGGAGTGATAGAGATGAGGAGGGAGATGGCAGAGATGGTCGAGACGGTCGAGGAAAGAAGCCAAGAAGAGATGGCGATAAAGAGAGGCATGGAGGAGAAGCACCGGTGAAGAGAGGAACGATTTACATGATTTCCGGTGGGCCAACGGATGGAGACTCGAATAGGGCCAGGAAGGAGCATGCTCGAGCTGTGAAGAGGAAGAGAGAGGAGGTAGGGATTACGGCTCGCATGCCGGTCATAAGTTTTAAAGCAGAGGATGCCGAGGTAGTGGTCCTACCACACAACGACGCTTTGGTTATAACCGCAGAGATTACAGGCTTCGATGTGAAAAGGGTGTTTATTGATACTGGGAGCTCGGTAGATGTTATGTTCTATGATTGTTTTGTGCAAATTAATAAGGAGCTGAATATGGAGCTGAAACCGGTGACCACAACACTTTA